CGGAATATACTTGCGAAGCGGTTGAACATAGTTTTTCTTAAATTATCATAATACTTCTCAATTTCTTTTAACATAAGAAATTCAACTTTGAGCTTAAAAATATTGAGATTCTCAACCTCCACTTTAATCCAACAGTTAGTAAACATAATCAAGCAACGGTATCAACAAATAATGGTGTAAGCCTAAATCTACCCAAACATAAGCATTAATAGTAGCTACGCACGGACTCTCGTCACATCGTGCATGCGTAGCCCCCACAAATAGAAGTACATATTGATTTAAGTTCACCTGTGGGGTTAATTTCCTCTTACAAGGTTAGAAAAGAGACTTACCTCGCCTCAAGCCTACTTCCCGGTTCAAGAATGCGCTCACACCCTCAAGTCGGTGCCGAATCAATCCAAAACTAATCAAATAGTATATAAACTAATCAATACATGCTCAAAAATTTATACTCCAACTATTAAAGAAGTTACCCAACCCTAAATGTAAGATTCTAAGAATTCACCCCCGGTCCCACGTGCCCGAATTTCGGAAAATTTAGAAGAAAGCTATTACCCATAACCTTAAGAACATAAATATATGATTTTCACTAAGTTCCATAACTATTTTCGTGGTAAAATTCCATTTTTATCAAAACCTAAGTTTTTCATCTAAATTCATGATTTTTATGTTAAAATCTACCCATAATCTATGTATTAAATTCACATTAGGTAGAAATTACTTACCTTCAGAAGCTAGGTCGAAATCCCCTCCTTAAAAGCTCTCAAATCGCCCAAGAGTGAGAGAAATGTGTTAGAAATGGCCTAAGTCCCGTATTAAATGAACCCTTCTGGCCAGTGATTTTTCGCACCTGCGGTGCCTTGGCCGCATCTACGGCAAAATCCTCGCAAGTGCGCATTTCCCTTACCTGGCCAAGCTCTGCATCTGTGGACAAAAGGAGTCGCTTCTGCGAGCCCATCCGCTCCTGCGACCACTGCTCTCGCACTTGCGGTCATGCAGGTGCGCCAAAACTTCCGCACCTGCAGTAGCTGGCTTACCCTCACTCTTTAGCTTCTGCGTATCGTAGCTCACACCTGCGGCTGGCCAAGTGCATGTGCGATTATGACAATAACTGGGAGCTTCAGTTGTTGCTTCCAATTTCCAACTTGGCCCGAGCCTCGTCCGATTGACACTCAGGGACCCCGGGGACCCGCCCGCACATACCAACAAGTTTGAAATCATAAAACGGACTCGCTCGAACTCTCGGAACGCTCGAAACAACATTAAAACTAAGAATCACACCCCAAAATCAATTGAATCAAACTTGTGAACATCAAGTTCTTCAATTGACTCACAATGCGTCGAAACGTACTTAAACTACTCTGATTGACACCAAATTTTGTGTGCAAGTCTTAAATGACATTACAGAACTATTTCCGATCTCGGAATTCTGTTTGGACCTCGATATCACCAAAACCCGCTCTAAACCAAATTTAAATAACTTCTAAAAACCTTCAAAGAACCAACTTTCACTATTAGGTGTCGAAACGCTCCCAGATCATCCAAAACCCGATCCGAGTATACGCCCAAGTCCGAAATCATCATACGAACCTATTGGAACCATCAAATCCCGATTCCAAGGTCGTTTACTCAAAACATTGACCGAAGTCAAACTTGGCCTTTTAAGGCCAACTTAACTAACCAAATGCTCCGATTTCAACCCGAACATTTCCAAATCCTCAAACTAACTATCCCGCAAGTCATAAAATAGTAAAAGCAATACGAGAAGTATTAGTTAGGAAAATATGATTCTATAAAACAAAACGACCGGTTGGATCGTTACATTGGAGGTACATTTTCACTTCAGCGTATGTTTCCATGTTATTTATTGCACTATCTAATAGTATAATTTACGAGATTATCTAATATTTTACAAAATTTAAAATTTATGAGGTAAAATCATGGTACTACTTAGCCAGGAAGATACATAATGGCAGGGATAAAAGTATGTCTAATCAAGTTATTGTTCTCTTCCTTAATCTTGGGCAATTTCTGATTAAAAATAAATTCAAACACGTTTTATGAATTTAAATCTAATGAAATTTTAGCCATTTAGAAAGGTAAAACATATGCTATTTTTGATACCACCGATCTCAACTGTTCTGGACAATGAGTCATGCTAACTGATAAGATTTCGAAAATTAGTAATTTATTTGGTGATATCGGTTGGATTAAATACTAAATGATGTCCTAAATTTGTATAGTTACTTAAATCAAGTGTTAATATTATGTAGCAGATTTGAAAAATAAGAAATATTTGATACTTTAATTAAGAGATGTTTGAACCAACGTTTTTCATAAGTCATCGTTTGATGACTATAAATTTGAAGATCATATGTCTGTTATTCTTCTTATGTTATCAGTTTGAATAATACTCGTGTTGTTGAACTNATATATATCAAGGGAGTATTGCCCCCAAATAATGTGGCATTATCCACCATTATTAGAGCTATTACATGATATTTGTTTTTTAAATAGTTCTTAAGATGTCTGCCCAAAGCGTTTTAGACCCGAACATTGGAGTAACGACCAAAAAGTGAGTTCTCTCAGAGAGCTTTTGCTTAGCACACAGTAGCTATATCTGATGACTAGATTGTTGTTGGTTCAAGAATGGTAGAGTCATAAGGTAGATGTCCATTTGTAATCATATCAATTACCCTTATTGAGTCTGTGTTGACTTGCAGAGGTGTGAAGCCCTTTATCAGTGCTAACTTTAGTTCCTGCATGATAACTAGTAGCTCTAAAAGGTTATTAGTCGTGTTGGGAAGTCCTTTCATGTATCTTACTATCCAGTCCTCCTTGTTATTTCGATTAACACCCCTATTCTTCCTACTCCATATTCCCCGTGAAGGAGCCATTAATGTTCAGTTTAAACCATCCATTATCGGGAGGTTCTCATTTGACATGTAATATAACTACTTGCTGATTATGTTAGAATCAGAAGTAGGATTATGGTTTTTTGTCAAATGAGTTGTTATTTCTGGAAAGCCAGATATTCCAGAAACTGAAAGGAAGGAGGTGTCCCCACTAATAGATGTATTAAAAGCCTTACTTCTGATATTATTCCAAGTGGTGGGGCAGTCAGTATGATTGAATTTAAGCTGGTGGAGACGCGAAGTATTGTGTATTTTTAGGAAAGTTTGTGCCAGAATTATTGTGCATTCAAATAAGATATGTGGAATATCCTCTTGGACGTCAGAACAGTAATAACATAAGAGGCTCATATTTAGACCAATGAAGTGGATGCAGTGATTGGTTGGAAACATGAAATGTGAGAAATTCAAAGAAAGAACTTGATTTTATTAGGGTTTGGAGTTTCTAGATCTAGCTCATGTCAGCATCCTGCATGGCTCGATTACCCCTAGCCTAATTGTGGATAAACTGATAGGCTTATTTGGTGAAGAATAATTCATTAGTTGTCAAATCCCAAATGAATTTGTCCTCCTCAAATGGAGCATTAAGAATGAAGATACTTTTAATGGAGTTAAGGAGAATAGAGGGGAGAGTATAAGAAGGCCTGTTGAAGTTCCAAACAGAGTTGGAGAACATGTTAAAGATGGAATTCTATTGTTACTGATGCAAGGTTATAGATTGTCTTGAGCAAGACAAGTAAATATGTGACCTCTACGAATAGTTGTGAACAATTAGTGTTATGCTTGTGAATTTTGGATTCTAATAAGTTGGAAAAACTATAAATGCTAAGATTCGAGCAATAAAAAAAGCTCTAAAACAAGCGATTCAAAAGTAATGAAAGGAAGTGATACTTTCATTTGATGCAAAGTCTGCAATGACGTGATCTGCAAAAATGCTAGTTTTTCCAGTTAAATATAGTTAGTAATTTCGTTTTCAAATATAAATTTGAATACATTCTCTTTATTATTATTATTATTATTATTATTATTATTATTATTATTATAAATTTAACTTTTTTATAGTTTGTGAAGATATCATCTTACTTCTGTCACACAAATTTTAAATATATATTTTTGAAAGTTAGAACATACTTTAGTTAGATTATTTACCTTTTTACTTCCACCAAATGACTTCCAAATTGGACCGTAAAATTCTCCTTCATATGCTTATCTCCTTCAAATCATATAAAGGCATGTTAACTAAAACATAAAGTAATGCTTGTATATTTTGATATTTTTATGGTCCTCACTAGGGTTGTGCATGAATCAGATCGGATTTAACAATTTCAGATTGAAATTTTAGATTTTGAATTCTACAAAATAAATCAGATCGGATTTTAAAGTTTGGATCGGATAAATATTTCGGATTGTCGGGATCGAATTGTACGCATTATTCCCTAACGCAGCCAACTCCCTCCATCCTCTCTGACCACACATCATTTCATCCATTCTGCATCAACAACAGAATAATTTTTTTCAACACACAGTTTAGCAACATAAAAGGCAATTAGTGATCTCATAATGCATAAGATGCCAGCATGACTTAGTTAGATCTTCATTCAGTAACAACTTTAGACCGTTTCATACCAAAAGATCTCTGCTGGAAGGTTAGGCAAGCTGAATTCATAGGATTATTCGAGTCGATAAAGGAAGAGGCATCGTCCGGTTAGTACGAACATAGAGAAGAGAGGCGGAACAGAGCAACAGTCTCTCTGAAGAGAGCTTAGAGATAGAGAGGCTCGATGAAATAAGACCTAACCGTAAAATTAAAGTTTAGTATTTATACATGTCCTAATAATTTCGGATTTCGGATCGGATCGGGTTAAAATTATACCAATCCGAATCCGATCCGGATATCCGAAATTTTAAAAAACATAATACATATTCGATCCAAATATCTGAAATATGAAATTCAAAAATTTGAATTGTGCGGGTCGGTTCGGATTCTCGGATATCCGATCCAAATACACAGCCTAGTCCTCACCGTCCACAATATGGTGATACGTGCTCCGACCCTCAAAAAATTGTGGTTTCCATCAATTTGGCTATTGCAAGATCTATTCTACTCTTCAATTTAATATTAATGATACTCTTATATGTGAAAAAAGAAAAAAAACCCCAGAAAATACGCAACATCATCATCAATATCATTATTATATCATCATCATAATCGCCATCAGAGACAGATATATCTCTTAGCTCTCATTTTCTCTCTCTGTTGATTTTCAGCTTTTCTAGAACATACCCACATTTCCCATCTCTTCTCCTTTGTTTATATACATATAAAATTGTAAAACCCATCATATAAGTTACTCTTCAATCCCTTTCCTCTTTGTTTGTTTCATCAAAGATTTGACCCTTTTCGTTTTTGATCCATGATCATTCCCTAATTTGGGATTTAAATGCAATTTAGGGTTTCCAAAATTGAGTCTTTTTTGTTCCTGAAGCTGAAGAAGAATTGTGTAATTTCAATCTAAGTCAAAGGGGCCCCTTTTTCATTTTGTGGGTATTAAGAAAAATAAAATGCTAGCTTTGAAGCAACTCAAGTGTGTGGTGATGCTTGTTGCTTTGAGTTGTGTATGTACTGCTATATAATTGGATTTGGTTTTTGGTTCTTTCTTGGATTTGAATGCTGGAATAGTTGGTTCCCGAGCCAGGGGCTCGGGTTTTGATTGTATCATATTTTGGGATATCAGTACAAAATTTTACCAATGGCAGCTTGTGATATGGAATCTCAACATCAACAGGAACAAGACCAGTTTTCACCAATTCGACAAGGGTTTATGCAGAAATTCAGGCTCTATCAAACTCTATCGGTAATAATTCATTCTCTTATTGCAGGGGATCAAAGGGTGTGCTTAAAAGTCTGTCGAAAGTACTTAAAGACAGTCCAAAAGTTAACAGCTCAGTCAAACTGCATTGCACAAGTTTGAATCTCATGTGGCGGATTGATCACTTGATTTAGCTAATTCGAATCAAGATCTTATGATATATTTGACCATTTTGACTTCCCTCTAGGATAATAATAGTTATTCAGTTTATGGAGTGCTAACAGTGCTTTATATTTGATTATGGTAATTTGTATTGATTCATAGGATAGTCTTAACCTGGCAATTATGCGGCGTTTCATTCTCTTATTCGAAAATGAGCCTGTCAAATCTCCTCTAGCTGGCATGTATTGTTTTGTTAGTACGTTCTTCTTCATCAAATAATTTTAATTACTTTCTATAACCTGTCAGGCGACCTTCAACTTGCTATGCTAATATAACACAATCTTCCTTATTTATCTGTTCAAAGTGCAATGATTATTATGGAACAATGGCATTGTGCGTGTATGGCGTATTTGGGGTCCTTTTCCGTCTTAGTGTCTTGTCCATGTTTTATATTCTTCCCCTTTTCTCTCATAAAAGTTTTCTCAATTGACATACTTTTATTTNTCATAAAAGTTTTCTCACTTGACATACTTTTATTCGTTGGAAAAAAACTGTTACAGAAATTTTACATGATAGGAAGGGACAAAAGTAGAACACACTGGAGAGTGTTGAAAATTGATAGGATGGAGCCTTATGAGCTTAACATACGTGAAGATTCCACTACCTATACTGAACGTGAGTGCTCTGACTTGTTGAGAAGGATACACGAGGGTAACAGGTCTACAGGAGGTCTGAAATTTGTCACTACCTGTTACGGCATTGTCGGTATGTGAATTCTTGGGTTTTAACTTTTCAGATACAAGAGGGTTCCATTCTTCTGATTCCAGTTATCTCTATGCTCTTTGTTAGGGTTCATCAAATTTCTGGGGCCTTATTACATGCTTCTCATCACGAAAAGGAGGGAGATTGGCGCTATTTGTGGTCACTCTGTATATGCTGTCACTAAGAGTGAAATGATCCCGCTTCCAAATGCCGCAACAAGGTCAAAGATGGTTAATTATAGTAGTGAAAACAGGTTTGTCTTTTTCTATGTTTGGGTTCTTTTTATATGATATTGATTTTGTATAAGGTCCATTACAATTTAAACTTTTCGAGTCATTTATATATTCTGGCTGTTTTTTGTTTGATTTGTTACTGGTGGAAATCACCCTTTTTTGCTCCGATGATAGAAGATTAGGCAGCAAACTATAAGAATGCTGAAATGAGTTTGAAAGCTCCCACTTCCTGCAAGTGAAGCTGGAGGTTAAGCACCATCCACCTTTCTCAGTTCCCCTGCATTGGTGGTACACCTTGGTTAATTGCATTTTAACCCAGTTTGCTGTACATCAAACGTTCTCTCGATATTCCTGACCTTGTCGACTGCACAAATTTGAGATTCAGGTCCAAATTGGACCATCTGTCAATGTCATTGGTTCATATGTCAATGCAATATCATGTTTACGATCTTGACAGTGAGCTTTGGTGTGGTAGAATTCAAATGCGCATATTTTTCTTAGCCTTAGGTGTTAACATCTCCAGCTGTTCTTGCGTATTTGACAGCTGGAATGTGGAGTCTGTTGAATGCCACTGAGTAATTATGCCATTTTTAGTTTGAGAAAAGTTCATGCATTAAGGTGTCATTTGGTTATCGGGATTAGAAAAATAATCTCGTATAAAATTTGATAATCTGTATTGTTGTTGTTTGGCATGTCATTTCTGGTATAAGCGATAGTAGTATATTTTTTATACCACAATGCCGGCATTAGTTTATATAGAATTCAACATGGGATAACTTATATGTGGATTAGCTTTACGAGGATAAAACACATAAAAGACTAAAATAACATTGATTTTATCTTTTTCACTTTTTATTTAAGTTAAAATTATTTTTAAACTTTTGCATTATGCACCATATATCCCATTCTTAATGCAATGAACCAAGTGTCCACCAACAACATATGCATTAAGTGATTATTAAATTTTGCTTCTTAAAAAAAAAGTGATTATTAATTTTGTATTGCAACTCCTGCGTCATAATCCCCACATAACTTTGTCTATGAACCGTACATTTAAAGGTCTGTTTGGGAACTTAGATATTTGGGCTAGACCTAATTCAATCATATAATCTAATCTAGTTTGAAGCTCATCTGGATCTACTCCAATTTGTCTTTAATCTTGGATAAAAGTTGGATGCTAATTGTGATGTTGCTCACTAGCATGTGGGCTGTGCAGAAATAGAAAATTGGGAGCGCTTTCGAAGTGGACACATGATGATTTTGTACATTTTTGAGGAATTACCTCTTATCCGTTTTTTTCTTTGGGTGCACTCATGAGGTTCTAATGTGTATAAAAGACCGGATGTCTTTCCCAGAGAATCATATTTCCTCATAAGTTCTCTACTTTTTAGTATACTACTTGTGTAAAAGAGTTTTTTTTCCATCATCAATAGAATTATTTCACTTTATCAAGAAAAGGTTAATTAGGGATCTCGATCCTGTGTGCAAATTATTGGTTCTGATTTACTGTTAATAGGTCTGCAATTTGTTAATCTGGTATGTAGTAGTAAATTATTTTATTATATGATAGAGATGACATATGCATGCACATCCAATGTCTTCTAGCAAAACATCAAAANCCCCCCCAAAAAAAAAAAAATAAAGGAAACAAAGCAGAATTACAAAATTGTTACTTTCACCAAATTTAGCTTGGGAGGTTGCTAGTCAGCTAGTTCCTTTAGTTTTTTCCTATGTGTTTGACAAATAATTTTTGGTCTTTGGAAGAAAGCATTGATGATGACTAAGAAAGTATCATGTTGATTCTCTGTCTCTCTCTATCATGTTGAGGGAAGGGATGGTCGATTTCCTCAAGAATATAGGCCTTTGTACGTTTTTGTTGACTTCAACTTATACTAGTTTTATTATTTATTAGTCCTGATCTGCTCATGTTGTAGGTACAAGAAACTCCTTTGCATGGTGGACCTTACAAAGGACTTCTTCTTCAGTTACTCATACCATATTATGAGGAGTCTACAGATGAACATGTGCAATAAGGAGACTGGACCAGACATTTATGAGACCATGTTTGTCTGGAATGAATATCTGACACGTACAGTACGGAATCTCCTTCACAACACTACTTGGACAGTGGCATTGGTTTATGGATTCTTCAAGCAGGTGATTCATCTGGTATTTAAAATTACTTTACATTGCTTCTCACTCTTGCGGAATATATCACAAAGACAATCATGAAAAGGCCTGCTGATATAGCCCAAGAGTGCAAGGAAAACCATATGATTCCACAAGCTTTCTTTTTCTCTTTTCTGTTTGGCTGGGGTGATGTTAAGGATACACTCAAACTTGTTTGATTAACTGATTTTTCTTCCAGCTGTTGAATTATCATGTTAATAGCGCTCCTGTTATTTGTGCAAGCATGGGGGGTGTTTTTCTTACATACATATCTAAAAATGCTAATTTGTGATTTTGGTTTATGGGGCTCTACTGATGCAACAAAAATAGAAGAGAAATTCAGGGGCCGCAATGATGGTTTTGGAATAGGAATGGCATTGTGTAGTAGATGTGAGAAATAATACATGGGAAATTATATTATTGATACGTTTTACTATAATACAAGGACCCATATTTATAACAATACACAATACATACGCTAATCCTATTCCAAGTGAGACTATACTTATTTATACAACTACTAACTATCTAATACTTCCCCCTCAAGTCGGTGCATACAGATCATATGTACCGAGCTTATTACATATATAACTGATACGAGGACACTTGGTGAAAATATCTGCAAGCCGATCATTCGACTTCACAAACTTTGTAGCAATATATTTTCTCTGACGAAGTGACAGTCAATCTCAATGTGTTTAGTTCTCTCATGGAACACCGGATTTGACGCAATATGAATGGCAGCTTGATTATCGCACACAAGTTCCATCTGGCCGATTTCATCAAATTTCAACTCCTTGAGCAACGGTTTGATCCAAACTAGCTCATATGTTGCCATAACCATTGCTCAATATTCTGCTTCTACAGTAGATCGAGCAATCACATTCTGTTTCTTGCTCTTCCAGGCACCAAATTACCTCCTACTAAAACACAATACCCAGACGTAGAACGTTTATCAGAAGGTGATCCTGCCCAATCAACATCTGAGTATCCAACGATCTGCTCATGGCTCGATCCTCAAACAATAACTCTTTGCATGGTGCTGATTGTATATACCGAAGAGTGCGGACAGCTGCATCCCAGTGGCTATCATAGGGAGAATTCATGGAGAATTCATAAACTGACTCAACACTCACAGGAAAGAAAATGTCAGGTCTAAGCACTGTGAGGTAATTTAATATCCGGTAAAGGGCCAAAACTGCCCCTGAACTATTGGCCAAGGGCTAAATATCACCTCAATTCACCTATCGGTTCAAAAATGCTCCCAACGTTATCTTTTCCGCTCATTTTTGCCCTTATGACTAACGGTCAACTTGAATTAAAAAAGAGTTTTATTTAAATTCCACGTATCAATTTTTACTGGTCCAATCAAATTAAATAAATGGAAAAAGGCCAAAACTACGCTTGAATTATTGGCCAGGGCTAAATCAGTGTTATCAAAGGCGAAAAACGCAAAAAAGCTCTAAGGTCTGTTGGAGCTTTAAGCGCAAAACGCAAATAAAACGTGAGGTTTAATGAAAAAAGGGGCAACTGGAGAAAAAGTAAAAATATGTATATGCAGTCTAAGACTAATAATTATAAGCATGAATAACAAATATATGGACAAAGAAATTGGAAAAAATTTACGATAAAGTGATGTATCAATTGTTTAATGATGCCTTTTCAGGATTACACTCATTGGCGAGTAAAAGTATGCCTAAGAGCCTTGATGCGATACTAAAGCGCCCACAAAGCGAGGCGAAGCGCTCAACCTGTTTGAGCCTCGCTTCAGGGCTTAAGCGCGCCTTTGACAACACTGGGCTAAATATACCCTTCGTACATCTATCGGTTCATAGCCTGTCGCCATCTTGGATAAGACAGTGCATTTGAGAAGTTTATGTCAGTTTCTGTTAGTGTTGGAAAGCAGCAAGAGCGACGACAGAAAATGTGTTTAATTCTTACACTCGCTGGACTTTCTAATGACCTTGATTCAGTATGCGATCTGATTTTGGCTAGTCCGACTGTCCCTACAGTTGATGAACTATTCTCTCAATTACTTCGCCTTGCTGCAGCGCCCAGTCACATAGTGATCTTATCGCAGACAACTGACTCTTCTGTTCTCGCATCCCAGATAGTGGAAAATCGAACATCTCAGACTATGCAGAATAGATGGAAAGGCCGTTTTGGAAGGTCTCGGCCCAAGTGTTCTTATTGTAATAGGCTTGAACACACCCGTGAGGTGTGTTACTCTTTGCATGGTCGACCACCTAAAAATGTTCATGTTGCTCAAACCGAGACTGCAGGTAACCAGGGATTTTCTTTATCTGTAGGGGAATTAGTGAGTTCCTTCAATATCGAGCAAGTAAGCAGACACCTCCACAAGTAGTCTATGTTGCTCAAACTGATACTTCTGTTGCTGGTAATTCCTTTGCTTGTGTTTTCCAGTCTACTACTCTTGGATTGTGAGTTATGGACTCAAGCGCCTCTGATAATATTTTTGGTAATAGGTAACTTTTGTCAGATATTGTTTGTTCACAGTCTCTTTCCAATGTTACTTTAGCCAACGGTCTCCAAACAAAAAGCAAAAGGAGTCGGACAAGCTAATCCCTTATTCTCTCTCACTTTAGATTTTGTTCTTTATGTCCCTAGTTGTCCTTTTAATCTTGCATCTGTTAGTCGGTTGACTCGTGCCCTCCATTATGGTATAGATTTTATTAATGACTCTTTTGTTATACAGGACCGCAGTACGGGACATACGATTGGCATAGGGCGTGAATCACAAGACCTTTACTGCCTTGACTCATTCAATCCTTCCACAACATGTCTAGTTACAGATCCTGCAGACCTAATTCACAAATGTTTAGGACATCCGAGTTTATCCAAGCTTCAGAAGATGATGCCTAGTTTTTCTAGTTTGTCTACATTAGATTGTGAGTCGTGTCAACTTGGGAAACATACCCGAACCACCTTTTCGCGTAATGTTGAGAGTCGTGTAGAGTCTATTTTTTCTTTAGTTCATTATGATATATGGGGTCTTAGTAGAGTCCGTTCAACATTAGGGTTTCATTATTTTGTTTGTTTCAGTTATGATTACTCAAGATGTACTTAGATTTTCCTAATGAAAGATCAGTCTTAGCTGTTTTCTATATTCCAGAGTTTTTGTGCTGAAATAAAAAATCAGTTTGGCGTTCTCATTCGCATCTTTCGCAGTGATAATGCCATAGAATACTTATCTTCTCAATTTCAGTAGTTTCTCAATATATTATTCATCAGACAAGATGTCTGTATATCCCTCAGCAGAATGGGGTAGCAAAGAGAAAGAATAGGCACCTTATTGAGACTGCTCGCACACTTCTCATTTAGTCCCATGTTCCACTGCGTTTTTGGGACGATGAAGTTCTCACGCCTTATTATTTGATTAATCGGACGTCTTCATCTTCTTCCTCAATCACCCTTACACTCTTTTCCCACTCGTGTGTTCGGGAGCACATGCTTCGTTCATAACTTAACTCCCGCAAAAGATAAGTTAGCTCCTCATGCTCTCAAGTGTGTCTTCCTTGGATATTCTCGAGTTCAAAAGGGATATCATTGCTACTCACCTAATCTTCGTAGGTACCTTATGTCCGCTGTCACATATTTTTATGTCTCGACCTTTCTAACCATTTTGATATATCTGAGGTCTCACCTATACCGACTCTTAAGGAGTTTACTACAACTCCTTCTGCATCCTCAGCCTCAGACGCCTTACCAACACCGACTGTTGAGGAATCTAGTGTTGCTCCTCCTAGATCCTCAGCCACCGGAACACCACTCATAACTTATCGTCGTCGTTCGCGTCCAGCATCAGGGCCAACTGATTCACGTCCTGCACCTGACCCTGCTCCTACTGCAGACTTGTCTCCCCCTAGTCCGCAGATTGCACTTCGGAAAGGTATACAGTCCACACTTAATCTAAATCCACATTATATCAGTTTAAGTTATCATCGCTTGTCATCACCCCATTATGCTTTTGTTTTTTCTTTGTCCTCTATTTCTATCCTTAAGTCTACAAGTGAAGCCTCCATGACTACCTGTACTTGTCCTAATTAAGTAGACATATCCAATTCCTAGTTCTTCAAATTTGTCATCCGCGATATCACATCATAGAAACGTGATATGTCATTAGTGTATAAAGTACGAGCCTTTTCCCAAACTAAATGACATGTCTGGAATGGACGAAACAAAGGCATCAACTTGGAATCAATAGATCGCCATAGGATACTACATAACTGAGTATCTGTCTTTTCCCAATGTGCTTTGGCCTTTTCATTTTCATCACTAGCCTTCTTGGATAGATGATCTTGAACACCTTGACCCTTGCACCATAACTCAACAGAAGAAGCCCGGGCTAAATAGTTTGAACTTCCCATTAAGGGTTCCGAAGTAATCATCAAACTTGAATTTTCAGAACCCGTGCTTTTAGAACCAAAAACGTCAGTCCAAAAAACATTGTTGGACCAAGTAGCAGAGACAATCAATAACAATAGTAACTAAGAGGAACAATGAAGAAAAAGACATTGTAGTTCGACGAAAACTGAGCAGCCGCCGGAATCTGCACAGGTCCGGAAAATAAAAAAGGACGGCATTTGATGAAACTTGGATGAACATACTCGGAATAACCTCGCAAGTAAGCTGTCCAAAAATCGTCAGAAACTAATTGAAAGGTGGTTCATGTTTTGGCGATCTCGCCGGAAAATTTTACTTCTGGGAGGCACGCGAGGGCGCGTGGGGGGTAGTTTTCCAGTGGGGTTTGGTCGTCGAATGGCCTGTGGTGGTGTTGGTTTTAGCACAACATTGACGGAAACGTAGGTGACGCAATAACAACCCTAGAAGTCGCTTAAAATTGACCCATGGCGACTGTCTGATGGAGTTCTCTTTCCCGGATGTTTCTCACCAATGCTCTGATACCCTAAGTTGCTCGGACTCGGGTGCGAGTGCCCGACACCGGTCGGATTTAGAGGTCGGATCCTTCGAGATGTAAATTCTAAGATTCTGAGATACAGATTCTAGTACGGATACAGGTGCAAGGGTCCGACTAAAAATAATTTAAAAAATTAAAA